TGTACCAGCCACCACACTGCTCCAGCTTGTAGTGTTACTGACACACACTGTACCAGCCACCACACTGCTACAGCTTGTAGTGTTACTGAGACACACTGTACCAGCCACCACACTGCTACAGCTTGTAGTGTTACTAACACACACTGTACCAGCCACCACACTGCTACAGCTTGTAGTGTTACTGACACACACTGTACCAGCCACCACACTGCTCCAGCTTGTAGTGTTACTGACACACACTGTACCAGCCACCACACTGCTCCAGCTTGTAGTGTTACTGACACACACTGTACCAGCCACCACACTGCTCCAGCTTGTAGTGTTACTGACACACACTGTACCAGCCACCACACTGCTCCAGCTTGTAGTGTTACTGAGACACACTGTACCAGCCACCACACTGCTCCAGCTTGTAGTGTTACTGACACACACTGTACCAGCCACCACACTGCTCCAGCTTGTAGTGTTACTGACACACACTGTACCAGCCACCACACTGCTCCAGCTTGTAGTGTTACTGGGACACATTGTACCAGCCACCACACTGCTCCAGCTTGTAGTGTTACTGACACACACTGTACCAGCCACCACACTGCTCCAGCTTGTAGTGTTACTGACACACACTGTACCAGCCACCACACTGCTCCAGCTTGTAGTGTTACTGACACACACTGTACCAGCCACCACACTGCTCCAGCTTGTAGTGTTACTGACACACACTGTACCAGCCACCACACTGCTCCAGCTTGTAGTGTTACTGACACACACTGTACCAGCCACCACACTGCTCCACCTTGTAGTGTTACTGACACACACTGTACCAGCCACCACACTGCTCCAGCTTGTAGTGTTACTGGGACACATTGTACCAGCCACCACACTGCTCCAGCTTGTAGTGTTACTGGGACACACTGTACCAGCCACCACACTGCTCCAGCTTGTAGTGTTACTGAGACACACTGTACCAGCCACCACACTGCTACAGCTTGTAGTGTTACTGAGACACACTGTACCAGCCACCACACTGCTCCAGCTTGTAGTGTTACTGGGACACACTGTACCAGCCACCACACTGCTCCAGCTTGTAGTGTTACTGACACACACTGTACCAGCCACCACACTGCTCCAGCTTGTAGTGTTACTGACACACACTGTACCAGCCACCACACTGCTCCAGCTTGTAGTGTTACTGACACACACTGTACCAGCCACCACACTGCTCCAGCTTGTAGTGTTACTGACACACACTGTACCAGCCACCACACTGCTCCAGCTTGTAGTGTTACTGAGACACATTGTACAGTACCAGCATTCCACCACACTGCTCAAGCAAATGGTTTAAGAATTTCTACAAAGTCATCTAGGGTGAAAGGCACACATATATATACCATCTAAAATAAGCAAAATTGTGCAAATCAAGCAAGAAAATCATGCATATTATTTCAAAGATACTCTTCACTTTCATGACGGCATCATCGCTAGGTCTGCTGTCGTAATTCTGAGAGAGGTTTGAAATAGTAGATCTAATTTTCCTTTATACGCAACTTTCAGGTCTTAAGAGTTTATACACGTTATACAAACAAAATTTTAATGCTAAGAAATAAATCGTGCAGTAATTACTGCACAAATACAACAGTATACACACCCAACCCACACATCTGAAAATAAAGTCACAACATCTCAGTCTGCCCTGGACCATTACAGGAGATGCTTTTTCATCCACACGGTTATAAACCCATGGAGCCGCCTACTCGCCAAAGCCACAAATGCCACAACTCTGTTAGGTTTTAAAATTCACCTAGAAAGGATCAAGGGAAATGGAGGGACCTTCAACAAGCTGCCGGCTTCCTGTCCTTATCAAGGCCACTAGTCTCAGTGGGCCTCGGGTAAATAATCAGGTAAATTATTAATGTAAAAGGTGTGTAATTTTCAGCCGTGTTATTGCGACTTACTGTCTGCATACATCAGTGTTGTCTGACCACAAACCTGAATCAGTCTGGTGGAAAACAGGGCCATGCAGGCACTGATCTTCCCAATGATGAGTAGATAAGTTATTGTGTAGATCAGGGGATAGATGGGTGGGTAAGAACAGATAAGCAAATAGCCGGGAAAGAAGGTAGGTAGGTGGGTGGGTGGGTAGGTAGACAGGCATTTAGGATAAGAGGTAGGTAAACATGGGGCAGTAGGGAAGGGAGGGAGGTAGGTAGACACAGGGAAGGAGGGAGGAAAGGAGGTAGGTACAGGTAGCTAGGAGTAGAATATAGGTAGACAAAAGGCAAGGAGGTAGATAGACAGGAAGCTAAGTAAGTACAGTGGAGTAGACAAGGATGGAAGTATGACAGCACACAAATAATAAAAGTGGGAGGTAATTCTGACATGAACAACGGATAGAAGGAATTACCTTGAGTTTCAACATATATTTAAACATATTATCTTCATGATTCAATGGATCTTAAAACAAAGGATCTTGAACAGAGAATCATTTTAAACTCCAATGAAAGGAAGTACTGTAGAGTAAGAGCTCCTATTTGAATTCCAGTAACCCGGATCTTGGGGTAATCCAAACGAATTAAGTGTTCATTTTCAAGGAAATGACAAGAGTAAGCAGGTAAACCATGGCAATTTGAAGGGTAAATAGCAGGAGTAACTGGGTTGTGGTACCATTAATTCAAAATTATTTAATTTTTTGACATTCCTGGTAGGAAATTTGGCCAACTCTTAATGTTCAGCAAATTTGAATCAGGGTGGGCCTCGAATGATTTTGATTGCCGAGCATTTACAGTATTCTCCATGTCGGCATGATCCACATTCAAAGCAGAGTTTTGGCCGAAACAATGCCTGTAATGTTAACGATCTAAATTTGTTCATTTATTATGCACCCCATTCCGTATGTGGTAGTGGACCCCCATACCCATCCTGTGGGTACTAGTGGACTACATACCCATCCTGTGGGTACTAGTAGACCCCATACCCATCCTGTGGGTACTGGTGGACCCGATACCCATCCTGTGGATACTAGTGGACCCGATATCCATCCTGTGGGTATTACTAGTACCCATACCCATCCTGTGGGTACTGGTGAACCCCATACTTATCCTGTGGGTTCTGGTGGATCCCATACCCATCCTGTGGGCACTAGTGGACCCGATACCCATCCTGTGGGTACTAGTGGACCCGATACCCATCCTGTGGGCACTAGTGGACCCCATACCCCATCCTTTGGGTACTAGTGGACCCCATACCCCATCCTTTGGGTACTAGTGGACCCCATACCCCATCCTTTGGGTACTAGTAGACCCTATACTCCATCCTTTGGGTACTAGTGGACCCCATACCCCATCCTGTGGGTACTAGTAGACCCCGGAAGGCGGAAACGAGGCGGAAACCCCACGAGGCGGAAACAAATGGGCAAAGTTTCTTTCACCCTGAATGCCCCTGTTACCTAGCAGTAAATAGGTACCTGGGAGTTAGTCAGCTGTCACGGGCTGCTTCCTGGGGGTGGAGGCCTGGTCGAGGACCGGGCCGCGGGGACACTAAAGCCCCGAAATCATCTCAAGATAACCTCAAGATAACAAGATACTTTCATAGCCATGTAACCTAGGCCATATCGGCTTACTTTTAGAGAGTGTACCATCCCCAGTGCTTGCGTGTCCTGCTTGGTTTACACTTCAGGTTCTGGATATATCTTGTGGGTTCAGTGGTCCTACGGATATCTCATCCCTCTGAACCCGCTCTCGTCTTGTGCGAGCGAGAGTTGCTTGTAGTCTGTGCCACAAGACAATGATCATTCATTTTGCCTCTGCCATACTACCTGTTGAGTCAGTGATGCCTTTTACCCCAGTCCTGTGGGGGTTGATCTCCCCATGCGATTTCTTTCTAACGGTCCTGACAAGGTTAGGTGGTGTCAGCTCTGCGAGTTCGTTTTGCTCGGTTACAGCTGTCTAGGTTATATGCCTGGTTGGATGCCCCAGAACTGCTCAGTTTTGTGTTTAGGGGGTCCCAGAATTGGAGGTGTTGGTAAACTCCACTTTGGCTCCATTCACACCACCTCTTCCTTCCTCTCTGTGCATGGTTCGCCCCTTCTTGTGATGCTTTTCTCCTGCTTCCAGCCCCAAAGCATCTGAGGGTTTCTGGGTCGGGGCAAGGTTTAGCTCGGTATGTGGTTCGGCCAGCTCCAGGGGGCTGCTCTTTCCAAATTGGGCGCAGAGGCAGTTGAGCCAGTTAGTTGCACTGAGGCTTCAGGATTTTCCTTTCAGCCAGTTCTCCCTTCTTTTGTACATCCCTCCCCGGACTTTGCTTTTCTATCCTGGGCAGATGCTGGTTCCACCCCAGGGCCCTTGAGTGCAGCTGTCATCGAAAGAGCCACTTCATCGCGGATCCGGCTCCACATAGAGCCGGTCGGCCGAGCGGACAGCACGCTGGACTTGTGATCCTGTGGTCCCGGGTTCGATCCCGAGCGCCGGAGAGAAACAGTGGGCAGAGTTTCTTTCACCCTATGCCCCTGTTACCTAGCAGTAAAATAGGTACCAGGGTGTTAAGTCAGCTGTCACGGGCTGCTTCCTGGGGGTGGAGGCCTGGTCGAGGACCGGGCCGCGGAGACACTAAAGCCCCGAAATCATCTCGAAGATAACCTCAAGATCTCAAGAATAGAAAGAGCCACTTCATCGAAAGAGCCTCTTCATCGAAAGAGCCACTTCATCGAAAGAGCCACTTCGATTCCAGTAATATCCGCTAATATATTATAGCACCTATTTATGTCTATTAATGTACACACAAACAATATTTTCTGACAACATTAACAGTTAGCAAAATACAAGCTCAAATCAAATTTATAATATTGGTTAGTGTATTTTAATTGGGGTCTAACAACCAAGTTCAAACACACTTCTGTTACATTACATTAGCTATATTTTGTGCATGTGGACAACAAATAGCACTATTTAGCTAAACGGGCCACATAGCCTTTACTCATTCTATTTAATGTAACTTTCACCACTCACCATCATCCTCATCATCATCATCACGGTAGAGAATGGGGCCATCTTCATCGTCGTCATCAACCCGCGACTCTTGTAAAGAGTTGGGAAGGACAGTGTTGGGAGGAAGGTAGCTGAACGGAACGCTGTTCTCCTTATTCTCTCCCGAGGACTTGTCCCCATCCCCTCTACTATAGGAAAACCGGATGGGCTTCGTGCTGCATTGGGGACAAAGAATATTTATTAACACCGACACAATGCTCAAAGAACAGCTCTAGTGACATGCTCAAATCATGCTGAATATTCTTTATTTCGTCAAAGAACGATGCCTCTGGCATATTCATTTCTTATAAATTGACCAAGTTTTTTGAAGACCTAGCAAGACTAATAATTTATATGAACAATTTTGTCATAAAAGAGTAAACTCACAAGGAAACTAATGTTTCTTAATAATTAGAAGAAAACTTTGATCTGATATGTATAAAATAGTCTCAGGTAATCTAGCCACTCTTTACAATATTTAAAACACAGATCCAATAGGAGTAATCCTTGAAGATATCTGAGCCTATAAACTTGAAACATTAACAAATTGGTAAAACTGATTCACCACATCAATTACTCCTCACATTACTGCAAAATTTTTGCTATAAATAATTTTTAAACTGATTACAGACAATAGACATTTTTTAATGTAATGCATACATTAAGAAAAATGCAAAATTAAGTACCGTGTCATGCATTAGATTTTTAATTGAAAACAGTAACTGCAAACCTGTCAATATGCATTACAAAAACTATTATAGTTTTAAAAGCATTCAAGCAATGTCTTAAACAGTATATTGGTAAAACATTCATAATTTCTTAGCTATTCCACTTAGATACTTCATAAGGCAAGATCTTGGAACACTTAATTTGACTAGATCATGAGAGACAGGGTATGGCGACCAACTGTGCCTGAACAACGAAAAGCTTTCAAGATATCCACGAGGATTCAAACTGGTGCTGGTGAGACACTGGAGACACTAGCCTTAATCCAGCCTAGAGTGGCTACAAAAGGTTCATGCAGACACATCATGATTTACCCTGTCCTACTTGACATTACATGGACCACAAAGTGGCACTCTCTCTCTCAAACTGGTAAGTTTGCCCGCCTGCTGTTGCTGCTGCTGCTGCTGCTGCCCTCATTGCCACAATATCTGGAGCATACCTGTAGAAGGTTTCGGGAGTTCTTCGGCTTCCCAAGGCCAGCAGCCTCGACACAAGATGGCAGCACCCACACCTCTACTAAATCTCTTTTATTAATCTTCTCTTCTAGATACTAAACATTTTAATTCTCCAAGTAGTCCACTTAAAAAGGTCTACACGAGTTAGCAGACTGCCTCTTCTACATGGAGTGCAAGTAATAGTGTCCCTCTTCCAATATCACTCGGCATCCTCTTCTACATGGAGTGCAAGTAATAGTGTCCCTCTTCCAATATCACTCGGCATCCTCTTCATCAGCCACATGAGGTAACCTTGGCCATTTCGCTTTCGATTGTGGAGACACTTGTGCGTTTCCATAGTCTTCATAGTTTATTGATGAAAACTAATCTTCTCCTTTTCCCAAGTTTTTTTTTTTAATTAACACTGTGTTCTTTGTTACATCATACTTCCTCTCCATTTGTTGATTTGTATTGCTCATAATAGGTTTTGGTTTATTCAAACAGCAAATCTTTTCTTTAATCCTCACAAAAAATTGTCAAGTAAGCCACAAGTGTAGTCATGGGTGCCTGACCATCAGAAGTACAGTAAGCCATTCTCACTGCATTTCTCTTATCAACATTTCAACCCACTCGCTCAGGGCTTTTGGGAATTCATTTGCATCCGCAACCTTCCTAGAATTATTCTTCTGTGCTGTTAACATGTTGCACTTAAATAGCTCCTTCTCCAGATAAACCTCTCACCTCATGAAGTCTTTGATACCCTGTGGAATCCAAATTATACAACTTGCTTAAAGATTTTTGACCTACCACTCTGCAGTTCAAGTGAATTCCCCTTATTATTTTTAAGGCTTGTTGAAGTTTCCAACTTCTTTTTGATGTTTGCCTGAGGGAGCACCCAAGTGGAGTATAAAAAGCAACTTGCAAGCAATGCTCCCATCCTTTATCTAGAGTCCCCGATTCTTCTGTGTACACAGCTTTTTTTTAAATCCGTCAGAACATGATGGGGTTTAAGGCAGGAGTTCTAGTATTGGTGTGGATGTTTGTCATCTGATGGCAGATGTGGTCAAGTGGGCAAGCTTGATATGAGAATACTACATGATGGTCCTTGTGATACAAAGTAGAGCCGGAAAGGCTTCTAGTGTCTACGAGTGAACTTTCTGTAGTCACTCCGGACAGGAGTAAGACACACTCTTATCTACCTACCTACCACCTGTATGACCCAAAAGGAACATTAGGAAAGATTCCCGTTGTATCAGGAAAGTATCACCCTAGACTAACATGATCCTATCCAATGGAACCCTCAACAATATAGCCTTAGGAACAATCCAAATGGCATGCTTCAAAAAGTAGCACTTCATATTAACTCAAAGCTTCATTCATTTGTATGGAATATATTATAGTGAAGAGAGAACTCAACAATTGCTTTAAACTTTGAGTAAACATAATGCATATGGTATAGACCCTCATTGTAAGACGGTTTTAATGTCCAAGCAAATTTAGTCTCCAGACATGCAAAACAGCCATCAACATGCAAGAAAATGAAGACCAAGGTTAATAATGCTCAGAATAAGTCATCTTTAACAAGTTACATAAATCAATCGACAAAATGGGGAGGAGGGGGAGGGTTGGTTTCCAGTTTCTCCTACCTAAAGATTTGTACCCATTACTAAGCACATGGCACAAGATTTCAGATGTGCAAAAATACAGTTTGCCTAACCAGCACACGTGGAATGAAAATGATTAAGTTTTGGGCCATTCATGTCACGACTTATGGGTCCATCCAAGACCCTCAAGTCATCACTTTCATTTCATGTGTGTGTGTGTGTGTGTGTGTGTGTGATGGGATATTAGCTTTCAGACACATTACTGTGACTTGCTCTCTGCATAATATACAATGTTATTATGCCCTTCCTGTCAACAAGGTTTCTTCCCGACTGTGACGGGTTGTTTTAATTCCCAGACACGTCGTAATTGCAGTACTGTACTGTCAAAACAGCTAACCGAAATTACAATAGTGTGATACATCAAGAAAACTTTCAAGCAATAATGTAGGACCCTACTCACTGTGTACACACTTACCAACAAATTAACAGAACCCTACTAATCCCACATTATAAAATACACAAAGCTCAGGAGGTCCCAGCCCCTTGACAGTGCAATGAAGGACACCATCACTTGGCCACACAAGAGGAGGTTCTGGAAACTGAAACATGCCGGAGGGGTGACAGGCAGATTGACATAATTTTCTGACAAAGATGAAGGTGGTAATCAATGACAATATATCAGACCGGAGAAGTGTTACTAGTAGAGTACCACAGGGTTCGGTTCTTGCACCAGTTATGTTCATCATCTATATAAATATCTACCAGAAGGAATATAGAACTATAAGAACATGTTTGCTGATGATGCTAAGCTACTAGGGGAACCTAGTAGCTTAGCAGACTAAGCTACTAGGTTCCCCCTAGTAAGACCTAGTTCCCTTAATAAGAGACCTAAGACTATTGTCAAGCCCTTCAAGAAGACCTAGACAAAAATGTATGGAGCAACCCATGACAGATGGAATTCAATATGAATTCCACAACGCCATGTTATGGAATGTGGAATAGGAAAAAATAGGCCACACAACCTACAAATTATGTGGAAATGTATTAAAACATTCTGACAAGGAGAGAGATCTAGGGAGTGTTTCTGGATAGAAAACCATCACCTGAAGACCACAAAGAACATTGTGTGAGGAGCCTATGCTACGCTTTCCAACTTGAGAATCGCTATTAAATACATGGCTGGTGAGATATTAAAGAAACTGTTCACAACTTTTATGAGACCAAAGTTGAAATATGCAATGGTTGTATGGTGCCCATACCTCAAAGGTGCATAGACATGCTATGAAATTCGCTCTGGAACTGAAAAACAAAAGCTACATGGAGAACTTGGAGGTGTTAAATATGCCAAAGCTAGTAGAAGAAAAAAAGAGAGAGGTGATATGATAACTACATACACAATAGTAACAGGGACTGAAAATTAACAAAGAAGAAGCCATGAAACCTTCAACTTCAAGAACAAGAGGTCATAGATTCAAGCTAAGGAAACAATGGTGCCAAAATACAGTATTTTTTAAAGTTTTCTGTTGCCAACAGAGTGGAAGATGTTTAGAACACGTTAAGTGAGAAAGTGGTAAATGCCAAAACCATTAGAAGTTTCAAAGCGTCATATGACAGACGCTTCTTTGGGAAGACGGGACACCACAAGAGTAGCTCTCATCCTGTAACTACATTTAGGAAATTACTATGTAAATGAAGCTTAGGACAAACCCTTTGACATGGAAAATGCCACTTGGCCACTATGTAAACAGAACACAAACTGATCCATTTACTGTATTTGTTAAATAGAACAATTGTTTTGATGAGAAAACTAAGCCAGGCAGAAACACTCGCATAATTCAGTATTTGGCATTAATGGATAAAAAATATAAATAAAAAGGTAAATTTTATATATTAATATAAAGGGTAACAAAAGAACTAGATTGCTACAGCTGATGTACATGATCAACTGATGATGAAACATACATGTTATATTCCAACTCAAAGAACAGAAACAAAGACCTCACTTCCCAGGGGAGGACCTGATACACATGTAAACAAAGACCTCACTTCCCAGGGAAGGACCTGATACACATGTAAACAAAGACCTCACTTCCCAGGGGAGGACCTGATACACATGTGAACAAAAACCTCACTTCCCAGGGAAGGACCTGATACACATGTAAACAAAGACCTCACTTCCCAGGGGAGGACCTGATACACATGTAAACAAAGACCTCACTTCCCAGGGAAGGACCTGATACACATGTAAACAAAAACCTCACTTCCCAGGGGAGGACCTGATACACATGTAAACAAAGACCTCACTTCCCAGGGGAGGACCTGATACACATGTAAACAAAGACCTCACTTCCCAGGGAAGGACCTGATACACATGTAAACAAAGACCTCACTTCCCAGGGGAGGACCTGATACACATGTAAACAAAGACCTCACTTCCCAGGGGAGGACCTGATACACATGTGAACAAAAACCTCACTTCCCAGGGGAGGACCTGATACACATGTAAACAAAGACCTCACTTCCCAGGGGAGGACCTGATACACATGTAAACAAAGACCTCACTTCCCAGGGAAGGACCTGATACACATGTAAACAAAGACCTCACTTCCCAGGGGAGGACCTGATACACATGTAAACAAAAACCTCACTTCCCAGGGGAGGACCTGATACACATGTAAACAGACTCACCACCATGACAATTGTTGCAAGTCTCAAGGTGGAAGGGGTAATCCACCTACAGGCAGTATAGCAGTAGTATTAACAAATGCTCAAAGGAATATAATAAGGCCAATAGCAATCATAAACGTGCAACATGACGAGTGTAGAATCCAAGGGCCAAGCTAAGCAGCACCCTTGACAACTGTAGAGCCTTGCCAGGTCCTAAAGAAACGACCAAGCAAGAAGCACCGGGCACTGGGGTCGCTTGCCGAATATCACAAATGCTGAAAACAGCCTAGGGGCATACGCAGCTGTTAAGGGCACAAGAGCCACACCATAAAGAGCATGAAAGTTACCTGTGCAAACCTGAATGAACAACATTCCAACTGCCCCAAAGCATCTTGCCAAGGAAGACAGCCTCTCAAAGACAACCACCCAAACCCACTAGGGAACACAACCCTGGCTGGGCAGAGGCAACATCAGAAAATACCTAGAAATAATCACTCCAGGTACAAGCAGTTTGATGTGAACAGCAAATCAGAGTCCACACAAGAAGAGAGCCATAAATATACGTGCATGTGAAGCAAATACTAAAATGCAGAACAAGTACACAAGCAAATGGCACCCACTGGACAAAACCTGTGTCCAGGATAGCTAACACTGATCGGAAAAATCAGGACATGGAGAGCACTCTGGTGGGAATGAGGAGAGTAACTGCAACGTGCCATTGCATTGTACCCAATAAAATGCCGGTGTCTGGTTGAGGGATCAACAAGGTAGGTGCACAGCCAGTTAGCGGAACACAGGTGTAACTAACGCGTGGAAGTTAACTGCTGCTGATGGGTGGTTTGCTCTGTTCAGGGTCTTTTCTCACATTTAATATTTTGTTTACCTTGCCCTTAGCTCTCCCATCTTTCTGGTGGCTTTTTCTCAGTTAGGGTGCAATAGGAAACCCCTCCTGCTTGCACCATTAGAGGCAAGTTAGGTTTTGTTCTCTGGTTCTTGGTTGACTTAAAATAACTTGCAAGGGCCTAGTGTGAACTGAATTGAGTGGAGTTAATCAAAGCAACAAGCCACCACCTGCAGAGCCTTCCCAGAAAATCAACCTTGCAATATGAATCTCAGAACACCAACTTTGTAAAAATTACCCACCACTGTTCATCAGGGGGGGGAGGGGGTGGTCATAGCATAAGTTTCTCCAAGAGGCTCTTATCACCTTACTAACCTTTCACACACACTGTCCATTATATACATTAATTCCATTCTTCCATCCCAAGATGCTGGTCATCGTCTCTACCATATCACCCTATTTCACCCTTCTTGGCAAGGCATTCTGGATAACATGGTTTACCATGTTCGTCATAAATCCTAGAATATTGACTCTTGCCATACATAGAATCCTACATACCATTATCTGCCATTTAAAACAAAGCCAGATATAAAGCTCTTTCACATCAGACACCCAAGATGACAAGCTCTGCCACATCAGACACCCAAGATGACAACCTCTGCCACATCAGACACCCAAGATGACAACCTCTGCCACATCAGACACCCAAGATGACAACCTCTGCCACATCAGACACCCAAGATGACAACCTCTGCCACATCAGACACCCAAGATGACAACCTCTGTCACATCAGACACCCAAGATGACAACCTCTGCCACATCAGACACCCAAGATGACAACCTCTGCCATATCAGAAGCCCAAGATGACAAGCTCTGCCACATCAGAAGCCCAAGATGACAACCTCTGTCACATCAGACACCCAAGATGACAACCTCTGCCACATCAGACACCCAAGATGACAACCTCTGCCATATCAGAAGCCCAAGATGACAAGCTCTGCCACATCAGAAGCCCAAGATGACAACCTCTGCCACATCAGAAACCTAAGATGACAATCTCTGCCACATCAGAAACCCAAGATGACCTCTGCCACATCAGAAACCTATAATAATGAACACTGCATATCATATTACCTAATTTTGTATCTACCTAGTTCACTTAATTAAATTACCATCAAGAATTTTAAAAATTATGATTTTAGAAGGTGAAAGAATTTATTCACTGATTAAGATGCATTTAAAATGGGCATGCAGAATTAACTTTTTCATAAACCATAGTTTGCCAAGAGACAAAACTGTGATATAGCATCTGTTATGAGCCTTTGCTTTGAAATTTCAATGGTATTAAGATCTGAAGTATTGTATTCAGAATCTAGAAAGAAGATCAAGGTGATAAGATTTAAAATTTATCAAATAATGCTGCAGCTTTTTTAGCGTTTAAACAATAGCGAATAATTAAGTGCTCTAAAATTTCATAAACAAAAGCTTTGGCTCATAAAATCTGATAGTCACTCTGCCATGCAAATGTGCACTAGAATTCCTGAGCACTAGCAGGCACTAGAATTCCTGGGCACTAGCAGGCACTAGAATTCCTGTGCGCTAGCAGGCACAAGAATTCCCGAGCAAAGTAGATACTAGAATTCCTGGGCGGTAACAGGCACTGGTCTGGAAGCTGCGTTACCTGAACCTAATCCTAACACTGGGTCGAAGCGGTAGGCGCCTTGAGGAGGGAGAGGGGAAGATAGATGGGTTATTGGTACATACACTTAATAATGGGAGTCAAGGCAGAGAGGGTGTGTGAGGGGGGAGGACTGTCTATGGTCAGGTTACTGGGAAATGAAAATCCTGAAGCCTGGATCACAGCCTTCGTTACAAGCCGCAAACCCATTTACCTCCATTGTGATGATGTTATCAATAAAGACGCTAAGGCTAATAACGTTAACTCTACATCTCCGGTCAAAAATTCAAAAGCCAGTTGTTAATATCAAATCTAATATTTAACACACAAAATTGTATCTGATGCTCAATGACTTTTCACACGATAAACCGTCATTAATTACAATGCAATGAAATTTCTTGTTCAATTACATATTTTTGTTTTTAAACCAATAATAATTTTTCCAGTTGTTAAAATTTTAAACACTAATTATACACAAGAACATGGAAGACACACTTCAGAATTTTTAATATCCAATAACCAGCCATCGTATAATACAAGACAGATTGTTCAGATTTTTGCATGTTTCATTAGGGGGCAAACAAAGCACTAATCAAAAGATGAAGTCAAATGTCTAGAATCATAGTACATACTGCACTGCATCAAACAAATCCAAAAACTAATTCTTTATATATAGTAAATGTTATGCTCTCCATATAAGAGTTCTCAACATGGCCAACCACACAAAAATCTAAGCACTGCATTACATGAGAAATCACAAGGCGAGAGATATGTCAGGTTTGTCAAGTAAGAATACCTGGTTCGAACTCTCCTAATCCCATATGCTCTGGATGGTAAAGGAAAAAGATATATATGCGCCGTCAGATACACAGCTTGAAAGGACATTTGTATTCAGAGGAAACTTGTGCATCACTTTTATAAGCTTTTCAATATGGTCTATATATATATATTTTTTTTGGGGTGGGGGGGGTGGGGAGGAGATACCCAAAGTAAAATTGTATCATTGACTAATGTTTGTTTGTTTCAAGAGTAATTACTTAGCCAAATCTTATCAAAATGAATATATGAATATATTGCATACACATATTATATATATAAACAAATGCAAAATATACATATACAGTACTGCATTCATTAACACACACCATTTACTAAAATATTCTTAACAAAAAACTAAGAAATATTCCTCATGTATACATACATATGTAGTCTTTACATTTATATGCAATGTGTAGATTTATACTCAATACAAGAGTGTAATAACCACAAGTTACTGTGTGGTTCAACTCACCTCTGGACACTGTGCATAGTACTAAAGGGAGGGGAGGGGGGGGGGAGATCATCCCAAGAGGGATCCCGCTAGGCAATAACAACAACATTAGGCATTAATGATGCTGGTGGTTCACATTACCACCATAAGCATCTCCAGAGAGGTCTCAAAACTTCCATGCAAACTGGTGCATGTGTATCACTGCACAATGAAATAATTATGCGATGTATCTGAGAAAATACCAAGGCCATACACTGGAATTAAACTTGCATCCCTGAACAACCCCCCCCGTCAAGTCTAGTACATGTGATCGAGATACTTTTCACCTCATTATGGCTTGGTGGTAGTAAGTGTTACCAGGAACTCCAAGGAAGCAAGTTCGATCGAATCGCATGGCCTCGTCTCATGTATACCACTGTTACTATCAAACAGTCCCTTTTGATTCTCTAACAAAATTAACCAGTATGGAATCACCTCATAGCACCCCAAAAACATGAATAGAATATCAAAACTTATTCACACTACAAAGCATTTCTTTGAGGAAACTCAACATCAGTAACAAGGAGCTGGAGGATGATCGGGAGGACTATTCTATACTACCCAAATTGGTGTGTGTATTTATCGACTTTGCAAAAAAAAACAAAAAAACAGCAATGAATGTAATGAAATGCCATTTTCTGGGTGAGCCCCTATGACTCCCTGGAGCTTATTGGCTAATGTATGTTATATTAGACCAGGACATTAGTTATGGAGTTCAGACCTACTAGGGACCATGAGCCAGAACCTGGCCCCTGCAGAGAGGTTGCAGGGAGCAATGGCCCTGGAAAACCCTCCTGTGGTTGGGGGTTTTCTTTATCTGTTAGACACCCAGAAAGGTAGGCATAACAAATCAAACCCCACACGGGGGTTTCTATAGGCCATTGCTCCTCGTGCTTCTTCTGAGGGGGCCAGGTTCTGGCTCGTGGTCCCCGGTAGGCCCACAGAACTCCATACACATGACTGATACCAAAATCTGACATTAGCATATCAGCCTGGATAGCTCCGGGGAGTCGACGGGACTCCCCCCAAAAAATTCCATGAACGTGACATTGTACATGGTGACATTGCTCTGCGACAACAACGATGCTCTGCCCTGGTGATCCCCAAAGGGACTAAGCACGACGAAAAGTTGATAATATATAAAGCTAAATGTTTAAAACAAATTAATTTAACTAAAGGAGAACTGTCTGAAAACTACTTTTTAGCGAGTACGATAATTAAAACCGCATTATTCATAGGGCTTTATACAAATCATAGTTTTTGCTATACAATATAGTCACACAGTACTGGCTCTGCATTTCCTCTGGATATTTACCTTATTCGAAATGCTGTGCATAACCAGTAACTTTATATAATAAAACCACTTTAACTTGGCCAACGCATTGTCTATTGAATTAATAAATTATAAATCTTTTCATCTAAAACTGGGTTACACAGAATTCCATTTTCGTCAATTTACAAATATTATCAGTACCAAATCACTCAACATGACTCGCCTCTGTAAATTACTAAATAGATTCTCGTATCTGCATCTCTCATCTGTAATTTACCCAGATGCCCCGTCTCCTCTATAAATCAATGATCTGTCCATCTCCACTAACAGTTCATCCACTTAAGAGATGAAAATTAGTTGCCACTGAATACCAAGTTCAATTTTATATGTATGCTTATCTTCCAAAGAAAAATATGACCAGAAAAAAAATTATATTTAATAATGCCTGGTGACTTGGGAGTTATGCAGAGCAAAAGTAACAATTTTGTTAGTCACAAGGCACAATAATGTGTACACAATAATAGGTCAGTTTAAACCTTTGTTACTGTTCTATTTCTCTAAGCTGTTAATCACATTACAACCTAGTCATTAATGCCAAAGAAAACTCAATAAAAAGTAATCATTAAACTGGGTTACTTCTCACCTGTTGGCATCTTGTCGCACAGACAGAGGTTTGCTGCCGTCCGTGGGTGTGCCCGCAGGCGGAGTCCCTGCTGACCCATTTGCAGTTCCTGAGGGATTCTTTTTCTTAAGAGCAGACTTAAGAGGCTTTGCATCTAGCCTGGGTTCTCTCGCAGGCACTTCCTCAACTTGAGACGTGTCAAAGTGACCAAGACTACTATTGAAATAGACCACACCGTCAACGTCTGTCCCTTCGTCGTCGTCTTCAACATCATCATCTGACACGAGAATAACAATTATATATACTTTCTTAAATAATTACACGATACATAATCTTACAAACAAAAAATACTGAAATTATTGGAAAAATATTATTCGCATTTAAGTTTCAACTTTCAACACATTCTTCTTTGGCAGAGGAAAAACGAGACATCAAGGGCAAAGAACTAAATCCAGATAAATGATAAAGAAGTCACCAAATAAAACTCACTAGCATTATATATATGTTTTCCCAGCCTCTTAAGGAGTTCAAAATATTATTAATATACAGTATTAAGAATTTAAAAACAGGGCTTTAGTCATGCACATTAGCGGGGAGAACGAAGGCGTGAAAACAAGACCAGGGCAGGTACTCCTTACTCGTCTAGGATGTGGTGCACATCATAGTACAGTACAGTATTTACCATCACTCGACTCTCTATCAATTGTCTTTACAAAACTTGCCAAGAACAAACACAAATTTGACAAACATTTCTATAACACTGGCACACCTTTTACCTTCAGGAATATTTCTTGATATTTTATCTTCTAGAGCAATTTGGACACAAGGTCTTATATAAATATGATATGGAAAACAAAAATGTTTATAAGGAAAATACCAGACCAAACATTTAATTGATATTTTTTTTCGATTCTCTTGTCAATGATACAGTGAATAACAAAGTAATTAAAGAGTAACATTTCAAATCTAATTTACATTACTCTGCTATTTGCAATTTCATCTTTATGCTTATCAAAACACACAAGATAAACATGCATGGTATTTACAATGAAATCACAAGAGCGTGATGTACCTATAAAGAACTACAGTACCGAGACAATATGATGGGATCAAATGTGCATCTCTGGACTCTCCAATCACATGGGCTACCAACTGAACCATGATGGGTAGTGCATTTGTCTGGGATCCAGAGATGGGAGTTCAGTCCCAAAGATTACCTTAATATTTTCTAATACAATATAAATATGGTATGAATGATTACTATTGGACCTCTTCGTTTATGTAACAATACACGTCGTTTCATCACTATATCAGCGGTGGGGAACCTTTCAGTATATGAAGCTATATTTTACTTAGCGATCTGCCTGTATTTGATAAGGTACACTGTATTATTTTCTGTATATATGCACATGTTAAAAACAAAGTAATTCTTAAATTACTTACAGATCAAGGATTCATTAATTTAAATTGCTTTTAAAGGCTGCACTAAGTACAGTACTGTATCATAAAAAGCAGTTTGAAGCCTTAGGGCCACAGATCTGCATCCCTGCTCTAGATGAATGGTTATTAATACAAATTATGGAACCACAACTCTCTTCCCAAAAGAGAAGTTCAGTAAAAAATGCAGAGAAAGAAATAAGTTTTAAAATATTTCAAAGAAATGTTTTTGTCTCTGATTCCTTGAGTATTTTCTTCTACCACCCTAAATAAATAAATTTAAAAATTTAAATGTACACTAAATTTTAAGATACACACAAAAACATTCATTGTATAATATACCAATTGTCAAACCATGCTTAAGCAACATTTATTCAATGCAGATCAACATTATCAATGTTGATCAACATAATCAATGTTGATTCATTATTACATACATGTTTTGCCCTGCTTTGTCCAGGGGGGGTACAATGCAGAATTTAGATTCAAATAAGTAATGAACGGGACTTTTAGTAGGTAAAGATCACTTCATAGCACAATGGAAAGAAAAAATGGCAAGAAAAAGTCACAAGAATGTGAGCAACAAACTTAATGTACACTGCAACCAGGCCAAAGTGGTTGACTGTGTAAGTTTAGACAGTAAGGTCAAGAAAAAATTGCATCCATTGGTACATATCAGAGAGCACAGTCATATGTCATTAGTAAACAGATGGAGTACAAAAAGGTAACGTGCACAATGTAATGCAGAGCAACGCTTCCTGCCGACATTTACCGCAGTTGTTTCAAAGTCTGATGCTCCGGGACAGACTCTCGAGCAACCGTATCTCAACTCAAAAGCAACTGCTGCTTAATGATCAGCTTATTCACAGTGTATGGAATGTGAGCGACTTATCGCATACAAGCCAAGCCCAGGATTCGTCAAGCATTTATGCAACCACTTGCAAAACCTGTACAATCTTTCCTCAATCATGGCAGCTATGTTTACATTGTATTTCAACAGTTTACGAGCTTGGAAACCTCCCAACCCAAGGTAATTATTGTTGTAAACAACACTGTAGTGCTTCCCAGCTCAAACTGTTTAACAATCATTGCATGGCTTTGTTTATCTTTTAAGAAAGATGTACAGGTTTTGTAAGTGGGTGCATAAATACTTGATAAATCCTGGTCCAGGGTAGAAATATTAGTAGATAAAGTTAAAGCCAAACTTGAATGCTGAAAAAAATTGCATCTCTGGTACTCACTTCAAAATGACCCACCAAACATGAGTGAAAGGCAATGATCAATTAATTTAACAAACTTAGCTCAAGTATGCTACATACATGGTATCAAATTTTGAAAGACTGTTACACTCCAACCTGTCATCCAAAATACATAGTACCCATGGCAACTATTGGTCGAACATACGAAAATCGACTGTTGCACCCTAAAAGAGTTAATGTTTTGTACTATTTTGAGCAAAGAGAAAGAAGGCAACAACCAAACCTAGACTTTCCTAGGCTTAGTGTACAAGTTTATATACTAAAAGTATACAAGTTTATATACTAGTACAGTACTAAATTATCCTTACGATTGAATAAATTAGGTTCTGATTTGCTTATTAAGGCTTCAGACAAATTAGGTTGTATAGTTATTCCTCCAATTTTTGGGTTGCCATTTGAGTACAGTATTCCAATACTTCAAAACGATTTTTTTTTTTTTTGGGGGGGGGGGAACAACAGTTGATTTTTTAATGTTCACTCAAAAGTTGCTAAACTATTAAGAGGATAGGTTGCATACTCATTCCTTCATGATAATATCTTAAAGAACATATCATATCAGGGTGAGTAGATAAAATACAAAAAATTCATTTTAAACTACAGGCAGGTAGACATGTTGGAATGAGCACAAAAGCTGAAGCTGATCGGCCGAGCACAACTCCTGCGATACGAGGTAAGCATAGTTACAGCATGTTTCACATCTTACACCAAAGCAGAAATAAATACTAGATATTGGGTCTTGCCAGCGTGGGTTAGCACGAGATGTCCGAGATCTTGTAGCCTGGATAACGTAACATCTGACAAAAGTGGGAGGTTTTAGGAGTTATTATACAGCTAACTGCCTCACGAATGACTGACTGCCTGCCTGCCAATTGACAGTGTCAGGGTCTCCACTGACTGTCAACTGATGGTTACCTTGCCTTGCAGTTACCTTGCATTGATTTCGGGAATCAACGTCCCCCCCCCCTTCCCCGGCCCAGTCTCTGACTGGGTCTCCTAGTTGCTGGACTGGTCAACCAGGCTGTTGGATGCGGCTGCTGGCAGCCTGGATGACCAGATATCCTTTGAAGGTGTTTATTGACTGTCAACTTGAACACTGAGGGATCGGCCAGTTATGCCCCTTATATGTATTGGAAGCATGTTGAACAGTCTCTGGCCTCTGATGTTGATAAAGATGTAATAGGTACTTTCTCTCAGAGTACCTATTGCACATCTGCTTTTCAACAGAAATATTCTGCACATCCTGCCAGGAATCTTGGTTATATATATGATAATTCTGCATGCAGATTTGTAATCAGTCTCTTAATATTTTCCAAATGTAAATTATTATACATCTCTCCCACCTGCACTCTAGAGAATACATACAGATTTAAACATTTTAATGGGGCCCAATAATTTAGATGTTTTATCAAGTGGATTCTAACGGTAAAGAATCGAAGAATGAATCTGAAAAAGAATGAAAAGAATGTATCTAACTGGAGGAGTGTTACTAGCAGAGTACCACAGGGTTCAGTTCTTGCACCAGTAATGTTCATCATCTACATAAACAATCTACCAGACGGAATACAGAATTATATGAACATGTTTGTGAATGATGCTCAGATACTGGGGAAGATAGGAGACGCAGACAATTGTAATGCCCTTCATATTGATCTCGAAAAATAAGTGCTTAGAGCATCAAGTCGCAAATGAAATTCTATGTGAATAAATGCCATATTATGCAATGTGGAATCAGAGAAAATAGACCACACACAACTTACAAATTATGTGGAAATGAATTACAGAACTCTAATAAAGAACGAGACCTAGGGGTGGTTTTGGATAGTAAGCTGTCGCCAGAAGAACACAAAGAACATTGTGAGAGGAATGTATGTGTCGTTTTCCATCTTCAGACTTGCTTTTAATTATACAGATGGTGAAATACTAAAGAAACTGTTCATGACTTTTGCAAGACCAAAATTGGAATATGCAGCAGTTCTATGGTACCCAAATCTCAAGAAGCACTTAAACTGAAAAAGGTGCTACGACATGCTACAAAATGGTTTCCAGAACTGAAAAGCAAGAGTTACGAGGAGAGATCAGCATTTTGTTTGTCTTCCATAGCATCCAAGGCCATGTCAAAGAGGTCTAGCAACTGCAAGAGGCAGGAGAGCCCTGTTCAGAACTTATATGTTGCCTAGGGTTAGGTAGACACATATGATTCAATGCGTTTTGTGATTCTACTGCTTAGTAAACTTTCAAAGATTTTTATAATGCATGATGTTAGGGATATTGGTCTAATTTTTTTCATTAGCTTTACTACCTCCTTTGTGAAGCAGCACAATCTCTGCTGTTTTAACTACTGTATACCAGAGATGACACCAGTTCTAGGCTCCATCTCCAAAAGATGTTTTAGGCCTGTGATAATGGTGTTTTGCACTTTTTGATGAATATAAAATTCCAGGAATCAGGACCTGGTGCAGAGTGCATTGCATACTGACTATGGCTACTTCAAAGTTGAGTGAGGTTGGGATAACATCTGATATGTGGTTCAATAGTGGTGTCAACATTGTACAGAATTAGTTTAGATCATTGATCTGAAATGTGTTCAGGGGTTCACTGAAAACAATCATACTGTAACCTTAGTATTTTACTCATTTCTTAACCGACATCTCTATTTCACCTATGGCCTTTTGCTGCTCTTTCTCTCCTAGATTTTATATGATTTTTGCAACTTTAGCTCGGTCGTTTCTATTTCTCAACATAGCCTTCTTTGTCGTTCTTGGGAGAGAGTTGTACATTTAAAGTGTTCCGCAATTTGTTTTCATTGCATATAGAGGGAACACCGTTCTCGTTCCTGTTAGCATCTTTTTCTCCTTCTCCTTAGTGATATGAGCCTTGCACATATTTCTAGTACTATTGTGTATTTTCTCAAGACGCTGGTTTAAATTTACATTATCTAGCTGCCTTTCCCAACATTTTTCTGCGAGGGCTTGGTTTATTTGCTCCCAGTTAATTTGTAAGTTATTCAAATCGAATTTGCTGAATTCTCCTCTTGGGTTTGAGACTGGCTTCACAGGTTTGCCCATGCATGTCTAAACTTTTGTTAGACTTTACCTGGATTGCACCCAGATTGGGGTTATGGCGAGTAGTTCTTCTCCCAAAGCCTGGCCCGGGCCCAGGCTCAACTTGTGAGATTGGACCAACACTTGCTTGGAACAGCCCGCAAGCCCACATATCCACCACAGCCCGGTACTATAAGAAAACGACTCGGTTTTCTCTTGAAGATATCCACTTTTGTTCCAGCAATATTTCTTATGGTCACTGGGAGGATGCTGAACAACCGCGGACCTCTGATGTTTATACAGTGTTCTCTGATTGTACCTATGGCACCTCTGCTCTTCACTGGTTCTATTCTGCATTTTCTTCCATATCATTCACTCCAGTGTGTTGTCATTTTACAGTGTAGATTTGGCCTTTCAGTATTTTATGTGTGTATATTACAATGGAACCTCGGTTGCCGAATGCCACTCTTCATAAATTTTTTGGTATACATGTACTAGCTCAATTTCTTCAGAAAATTTGACTCGGTATTCAAGGTTTGCCTCACTTCGAGTTTGCTGATGCACGTGAGGGTCAACCGAGCACGTGGTTCTGGTGGCGCAGGCGAGGCGCGGTTTACCAGCGAGTCCTGCCTAGTGACAACCAAGCTTGAATTCTTTGTGAAGAATTTCATTGTTTTTGTGCTTTTTTCATTTCTGAACATAAAGGTAATCATTACATATCACACCATGGGTCCCAAGAAAGTCAGTGGTAAAGTTCAACCTAAGAATAGTTGTGAGTAGAGGCAATAGAGGATGTCCCTTCCTCATTAAGAAAGTGTGTGCAGTATGGGAAGATCTGTAATGTTCTGTTGAAAAAACTCACAAAGATAAAGCTGTAGCAGGCCATTGCATTAAACCTTATTATTGACTGATGCCTCACTACAGACAAGTGTAAAATGTAGGGAAAAAACAAAGTGTCTATAGACAGGTTTTTGGTGAGAAACGAGCAGCGAGTCACAACCAGGTCCTAGTGGTATGCCTGTAAAACATGAGTACCCCAGACATGCCATCAGTGCCTGATGTTATAATGGAAGGGGACGCCCCTTACAAACACCAAACACTGCTTCTCCTCCCCCCTCCTCACTGTCTTCCATACACCAACAAGAGTTCTCAATAAAGGCAAGATATACATACTTTATTACAAAATATGAGTAGTATTATGTATAAAATGTATTTTTAAATTAATATTTTTGGGTGTGGAACGGATTAAATTTACATTATTTCTTATGGGAAAATTATTTTCGGTCGACAAACCATATCTGGAAACGGATTAAATTCGTAAATGAAGGTACAGTATTACTGTATTTGATACACCTCTTGTCTTCTTTCTTAGGAGTACATTTGGAGAGCTCCAAGACGATCCCAATAATTTAGGTGCTTAATCGTGTCTATGTATGCAGTATACGTTCTCTCTATTTCCTCTATTTCAGCAATCTCTCCTGCTCTGAAGGGGAGAGCGAGTACTGAGCAGTACTCAAGAAGGGACAGCACCAATGATTTGAATAGCACATCCGTTGTGATGGGATCACTTTCTGGCTGATGCTATATTTGCTTGGTTATGCTACCTAAACATTAGGTAGTTAGACATCATTATTCCCAGATCCTTTACATGCTGCTTTCTTACTATGGGCAGATTTGATCGTGTTTTGTACCCTGTATTTTGTTAAAGGTTCTCTTTTTCACTGTACCAGGAACGTACCACTGATAAACATCATGATGTTTTCTGCTGTCCAGTCAAAAACGTTATTATATCAGCTTGTAGTTTTTGAATGTCTTCTTCATAAGTAATTTTCAAGTTGATTTTTGTGTTATCTGCAAAAGATGATACGAAGCTGTGACTTGTATTTTTGCAAATATCTGATATGAGAATAAGGAAAAGCAGTGGTGCAAGGACTGTACCCTGAGGTACAGAGCTTTTAATGGTGCTTGGGCTCTATTTTATTTGGACGACTGTTACATTGTGTTATATTTTACAGTAATTGAATATCAACCGTCCTACTTTACCTGTTATTCCTATTGATCTCATTTTGTGTGGTATCACTCCATGGTCACATTTATCAAATGGCTTTGCAAAGTCCATGTATACCATAATTATGATCTGAGTAACATATATTTGTAATCATTATGTCCCTAATCAGTTCATCATGGTTTGTAAAATTAACATCCAAGGTATTTTCTTTCCTTATTTGGTTCTACTATTTGCTAGTTTAAAGTAAATTTGTCACACATCTGCAAGAAGTCATCTGTGTTTGACTGTTCACTTTAACTGTGAGTCTCTCTGGTATAACTGTACTTCCCACATTTATTCCATTTTAGGTGTCATAAGTTGACGTCACCAAGCAAGATGATGTTTGGGGCAGAGTTTGTGAGGGTTGTATAAACAGTGCTCTATTTTTAAAGTTGGTCTTTAAATTGCAGAGTATTTGAATCTGGTGATTTATATACAAGGACAGTCACCACATTTAGAATTTCTATTTTGATTATCAGCACTTCCACCATATCGTTTGTGGTGTTTAGCAGCTCTATGCAGATGAGCGTCTTTGACATACAGGCTGACCGACCCCACCCTATTGCCCATGTTTTCTATAAGATCTGAAAAAATTGAACTCTGGTATCCATATCTCATTATCATAATAGTCCTTTGTGCGACTTTCAGTCATAGCTGCAAACATCGCATTTGCCTCATTTAGGAGACCAGTTAGACAGCAGACTGTTTTGCGAGTTTTGATGCCTTGTAATTTGGCAAATGACAAAGATGTTATCGTATTTGTGGAAGTGCTGGGTGTGGTAATACTGTGATTCAGGTAGGGGATGACGATACAATGCCTGTGCCCTGTCTATTACTTGACCGAGTTGATGGTAGAGTTTGGACATTTCTTGCCATTTTTTTCCTCTCTCTTATTAAAAAAATTCCCCCTGGTATGTTTGGGTGTTGCTGTATTCATAATGGCATTCTTTTCACTTTAGTCACTTGTTTCCTTTGACATGAAATGTTGGACATTCTCTATTAAAACATTCTTTCTTGTTTAGTGAATTTTTACAGTTTTTGGTGGGAAAATTTGCAATTTTCAGTAACATGAACCTCTAGGATATTTCTGCAGCTTCCCTGGTGTTTATATTTACATGTTTAATTAAGTAGCACTTCCTTATAGCCCACATTTACATGCACCCCATGCATAATATTTCCAGATTCCTGGTTCAGCTTTTTTGGACTTATGGTTTATATAGTTATAAAGTGTACCGTTTATAAGTGTATAAACTTTATATATAGTTTATACTCTTTATACAGTACACTGTGTGTTGACTTTTTGCTGAAAGATGTAGGTTGATATATTTTAGAATCCTGCTGTTGCTTGGTAACTTCTTTAATTGTTTCTAATATTACTTTCTCTGTGGCCACTGGTGCCAGGGTTAGATGCATATCCTCCTTGCACTGTCTTATACCCTGTGTATCCTCCTCCATCTTTTCTGACAAAAGCTCTTTTACTCTGTCGAATTTCCTTGCCTAACCTATTGTATTCACTACCAACTGGATTTGACTTTAGTTCAAGAGCAATATTTAATACTTTTACTTCCCTCCTCCAGGACTTCTTTAGTTTCCCAGTGATTCGTATCTTTTGTATAATTCCCTTATTTGACCTTTCAGGGCTGTAACTTTATTTCTCAAGTTTTCATTACTGCTGCTCATTCTTAATTCTATCTGCACGATTCTTTACAATGATATCAATTTTTGCCAACTTGTTATGTAAACCACTCCTGCTAATATTTGCCTCATCCAAACCATCAAAATTAATCTCTTCTGTTTAGTCCTTCCTCTCGCTGGTAGCCACCTTTGTTTTGGTCTCCATGTGCTCCCACACTATTTCTTTCAAATACTACACTATTTCTGCTTTGTTTCTGTAACGTAATGTAAATTAATGTTTATGAAGCACATACAACCAAAACCCTGTACAGTATTGGCTAGACAACCCGTCCTCTCGCCTCACGTCACATTTTTTACCAGCATTTACCAATCCGTTAAAAATGCAATATTAGTAAAAATTAAAACTCTGAAATACCGTATTGACATTATCATCGGGCATGATAGGTGGGTTACATTGGGTTCATATGTTTTTGGTTAGCCAAAACAGGTGCATTTTTTATGGAGTGGTTTATGGAGAGAACGGGCTGGGCTATGATCATGCTCACTGGCTTTAAAAGCAATCATGAGAAACACCAGGCTATAGTTAGTATACATATATATACTGTATATATAAATATATATACTGTACAGATATATATTCAGAAGTATTTGTTCATATGCAGGGTCATCAAAGCATGGATTTAGTATAAAAATATTTAAGCACAGTTAGTGCAGATGTTAGTTATGAAAATGAACATATATTAATGGAAATTAAATACTTAAGTCGTGAATACCGCAATGTTTACCAGCGTTAGCAAATTCCGCCATTCTGGCCTCAAACCAGCCGAGGATGCCATTAGCTGTACCGTCAATCACATCGTCATCCTTAATTACTGTAAGTCAAGCAATGCAAATTTGACAACAAAAAGTTAGAATTGCACAGAAAAGCAGAAAGAACAAAAATATTTTATAAATACTGTACAGTGTACCTAATTTGGCACAGTGTACAACATCTAGATACAAGAGGAAAGGTCATCATTTATTTGTTACGCAACTGGGAACAACAAAACTACCTGATTGGGAGTAAACAAAGAACAGTAATAATTAAAAACAGCACTTATTTCAACTCCAGCAAATGTTAATGTCTACAGTAGCAAGACCAGATCTACCTCTACCACCCAATGTTAATTTCTACAACTGCAAGACCTGATCTACCTCTACTCCCAAATGTTAATTACAAAAGGAAAGTACATGATGATACAGTCACTTAATGCACAGAATCTGATTTTTAAAGCCCCTCGCAAGATGATTATTCTTCAGCAGATTTTTCACCACCAGACATAACATTTTATAAGAAAGGTAACAAACATTATCACTAACTGGCCATACAAGAATTACAGGATTTTTTTGCGGATATAAAGCATTGTTTTAACATCAAGCTTAAGCCCAGTGTCGTAGCTTATGCGAAGGACAATAATTTTAGGATAGTTGCACATTATAACAACAGTGAATAAATAAATAATGAAACATACTAGAATAGGCCCTCCACAAAATACCACTGTAACAAAGAGGGGTAACATAAGTGGATGGGCGTCTAATATGCCGGGAAGTATCTTGCTCACCCTCTCTCACAAATTTATGTCAGGATACTGTATAAGCTTATGAATTAACAGTGACGACACAATACCTGTGCCCTGTCTATTACTTGACCAAGTTGATGGTAAAGTTTGGACATTTCTTGCCATTCTATTCCTCTTTCTCTTATTAAAAAATTCCCCTGGAATGTTTGGGTGTTGCTGTATTCATAATGGCATTCTTTTCCCTTTGGTCGCTTGGTTCCTTTGCCATGAAATGTTGGGCATTCTCTATTAAAACATTCCTTCTAGTTTAGTGAATTTTTACACAGTTTTGGGTGGGAAAATATTATGTTATTCTTACATAGTACACGTGCCGACATAAAACACACAGCTTCAATTCAGATTAATCGTCAAGACTAAAATTTTGACTTTACCATACTCTCATCAAGCCTCTATGAATAGAGATCCTTCTTATGATCTTAACAAAATTTTGATTACATTTTTATAAATCTATTACATATACATTATAACATTAAACATACCTACCCTGCATGCAGTCACACTACAATATGATCAACACAAAAACTCGGGCAATATTGCCTAAATCTCCAGCAGCTTTTCTGCCATTTAAAATGTTCCTATTAAATATAGTGGCCACCTCATCTAGTTTATGCCATCCAAAATTGTACCCCCATGTTAAACAGTTTTTGGACCAGTGTATACCTGGTTGATACCTGGTTGATGGGGTTCTGGGAGTTCTTCTACTCCCCCAAGCCCGGCCAGAGGCCAGGCTTGACTTGTGAGAGTTTGGTCCACCAGGCTGTTGCTTGGAACAGCCCGCAGGCCCACATACCCACCACAACCCGGTTGGTCCGGCACTCCTTGAAGGAGTATGGCCTGCTATTTGTTATACTTTGAACAGGTGAGCCACATGTTGTTTGTTTATGTACCTGGATGAGGTTCTGTGAGTTCTCCAACTCCCCAAGCCCGGCTCGGGGCAAAGATTGACTTTTGAGAGCTTGGTCCAATAGAATGTTGCTTGGAGCGGCCCGCAGGCCCACATATCCACTACAGTGCAGTTGGTCCAGCACTTCTTCCATAAAACTGTCCAGTTTTTTCTTGAAGATTTCCCCCTTTTGTTTTGGCCATATTTCTTATACTTGCTGGGAGGATTTTGAACAACTGTGAACTTTTGATGTTCATACAGTGTTCTCTGCTTGTGACTATGACAACTAGCTCTTCACTGATTCTGTTCTGCATTTTCTTAAATATGTCACTCCAGTATGTTGTTATTCTACTGTGCAAATTTGGGACCTGGCCTTCTAATATCTTCCATGTATACATTAGAAAGGAGAAGAGAGGTATACCTGCTTGATACCTGGTTGATGGGGTTCTGGGAGTTCTTCTACTCCCCAAGCCCGGCCCGAGGCCAGGCTCGACTTGTGAGAGTTTGGTTCACCAGGCTGTTCCTTGGAGCGGCCCGCAGGCCCACATACCCACCACAGCCCGGCTGATCCGGAACTTCTCTTAGAAAACAGTCCAGTTTTCTCTTGAAGATGTCCACGGTTGTTCCGGCAATATTTCTTATAGTCGCTGGGAGGACGTTGAACAACCGCAGGTACCAAATAAAGAGTATATTTTGAGAGATTTAAGACTATCCCAATAGTTTAGGTGCTTTATTTTGTCTATGTATGCCATTAAGTTCTCTGTATTCCCTCATTTTCAGCAATCTCTCCTACTCTGAAGGAAGAAGCGAGTATGGAGCGGTACTCACAGCGGGACAGCACAAGTGACTTCAACAGTATGAGCCTTGTGATGGAATCCCTGGATTTGAAGGTTCTCGTAATCCATCCAATCCTTTTTCTAGCTGATGCTATATTTGCTTGGTTATGCTCCTTAAACATTAGGTCATCAGGCATTATTACACAGATCCTTTACATGCTGCTATCCCATCACCCATAATTGTATCACATTAAGTGCATGACATAACAAATTACCCTAGAAGTAATTACTACACCCAAGTGTAGTTACAGGATGAGAGCTACACTCATGGTCTCCCGTCTATCTAATAATCATTATCATATGACGCTTTAAAACAACTGATGGTTTTAGCCTCCACCGTCTTCTCGCTTAATTTGTGCCAACGTTCCATCACTCTTCAAAAGAGAACTCTTATATTTTTCCAGCTCTTTTGTTACCTTAGTTTGAATCTATGACCGCTAGATCTTTAAGTGGCAGGCTACAAATATTCCTCCTCGTCAATCTTGCCGAGTCCTGTTACTATTTTGAATATAAAAATTATGTCGCCACTTTTCCTATCTTGTAGCCTTTGCAGGTTTAATGCCTCCAGCCACTCCTCATAGCTGCTATGAGGTACTTAGTTCCAGGAGCCATTTAGTAGCAAGTCTATGCACCCTTTCTAGTCTGTGTGCTTCTTGAGATACAGGCACAACAACACTGCTGCATATTCCAAAATTGGACTTGCAAATTGCATGAACAGTTTCTTTAATATTTCACAGTCCATGTATTTAAATGTGGTTTTTGAAATTTGCTAGCATAGCATAGGCTTACTATTAAGAACCATAGCATAGGCTTACTATTAAGAACCATAGCATAGGCTTACTATTAAGAACCATAGCATAGGCTTACTATTAAGAACCATAGCATAGGCTTACTATTAAGAACCATAGCATAGGCTTACTATTAAGAACCATAGCATAGGCTTACTATTAAGAACCATAGCATAGGCTTACTATTAAGAACCATAGCATAGGCTTACTATTAAGAACCATAGCATAGGCTTACTATTAAGAACCATAGCATAGGCTTACTATTAAGAACCATAGCATAGGCTTACTATTAAGAACCATAGCATAGGCTTACTATTAAGAACCATAGCATAGGCTTACTATTAAGAACCATAGCATAGGCTTACTATTAAGAACCATAGCATAGGCTTACTATTAAGAACCATAGCATAGGCTTACTATTAAGAACCATAGCATAGGCTTACTATTAAGAACCATAGCATAGGCTTACTATTAAGAACCATAGCATAGGCTTACTATTAAGAACCATAGCATAGGCTTACTATTAAGAACCATAGCATAGGCTTACTATTAAGAACCATAGCATAGGCTTACTATTAAGAACCATAGCATAGGCTTACTATTAAGAACCATAGCATAGGCTTACTATTAAGAACCATAGCATAGGCTTACTATTAAGAACCATAGCATAGGCTTACTATTAAGAACCATAGCATAGGCTTACTATTAAGAACCATAGCATAGGCTTACTATTAAGAACCATAGCATAGGCTTACTATTAAGAACCATAGCATAGGCTTACTATTAAGAACCATAGCATAGGCTTACTATTAAGAACCATAGCATAGGCTTACTATTAAGAACCATAGCATAGGCTTACTATTAAGAACCATAGCATAGGCTTACTATTAAGAACCATAGCATAGGCTTACTATTAAGAACCATAGCATAGGCTTACTATTAAGAACCATAGCATAGGCTTACTATTAAGAACCATAGCATAGGCTTACTATTAAGAACCATAGCATAGGCTTACTATTAAGAACCATAGCATAGGCTTACTATTAAGAACCATAGCATAGGCTTACTATTAAGAACCATAGCATAGGCTTACTATTAAGAACCCCAGCATAGGCTTACTATTAAGAACCCCAGCATAGGCTTACTATTAAGAACCCCAGCATAGGCTTACTATTAAGAACCACAGCATAGGCTTACTATTAAGACCCATAGCATAGGCTTACTATTAAGAACCATAGCATAGGCTTACTATTAAGAACCATAGCATAGGCTTACTATTAAGAACCATAGCATAGGCTTACTATTAAGAACCATAGCATAGGCTTACTATTAAGAACCACAGCATAGGCTTACTATTAAGAACCATAGCATAGGCTTACTATTAAGAACCATAGCATAGGCTTACTATTAAGAACCATAGCATAGGCTTACTATTAAGAACCATAGCATAGGCTTACTATTAAGAACCATAGCATAGGCTTACTATTAAGAACCATAGCATAGGCTTACTATTAAGAACCATAGCATAGGCTTACTATTAAGAACCATAGCATAGGCTTACTATTAAGAACCATAGCATAGGCTTACTATTAAGAACCATAGCATAGGCTTACTATTAAGAACCATAGCATAGGCTTACTATTAAGAACCATAGCATAGGCTTACTATTAAGAACCATAGCATAGGCTTACTATTAAGAACCATAGCATAGGCTTACTATTAAGAACCATAGCATAGGCTTACTATTAAGAACCATAGCATAGGCTTACTATTAAGAACCATAGCATAGGCTTACTATTAAGAACCATAGCATAGGCTTACTATTAAGAACCATAGCATAGGCTTACTATTAAGAACCCCAGCATAGGCTTACTATTAAGAACCACAGCATAGGCTTACTATTAAGAACCACAGCATAGGCTTACTATTAAGAACCATAGCATAGGCTTACTATTAAGACCCATAGCATAGGCTTACTATTAAGAACCATAGCATAGGCTTACTATTAAGAACCATAGCATAGGCTTACTATTAAGAACCATAGCATAGGCTTACTATTAAGAACCATAGCATAGGCTTACTATTAAGAACCATAGCATAGGCTTACTATTAAGAACCATAGCATAGGCTTACTATTAAGAACCATAGCATAGGCTTACTATTAAGAACCATAGCATAGGCTTACTATTAAGAACCATAGCATAGGCTTACTATTAAGAACCATAGCATAGGCTTACTATTAAGAACCATAGCATAGGCTTACTATTAAGAACCATAGCATACCATAGGCTTACTATTAAGAACCATAGCATAGGCTTACTATTAAGAACCATAGCATAGGCTTACTATTAAGAACCATAGCATAGGCTTACTATTAAGAACCATAGCATAGGCTTACTATTAAGAACCATAGCATAGGCTTACTATTAAGAACCATAGCATAGGCTTACTATTAAGAACCACAGCATAGGCTTACTATTAAGAACCATAGCATAGGCTTACTATTAAGAACCATAGCATAGGCTTACTATTAAGAACCATAGCATAGGCTTACTATTAAGAACCATAGCATAGGCTTACTATTAAGAACCATAGCATAGGCTTACTATTAAGAACCATAGCATAGGCTTACTATTAAGAACCATAGCATAGGCTTACTATTAAGAACCACTCGTAGATCACTTCCTTGCTTTTCCTTTGGTGACTTTCATATAATTTGTAGGATAAGAGTCATGTGTTCTCTCATTCTGCATTCTATCATGTTACATTTATTTACGTTAAATTCCATTTGCCATGTGTTGCTCCATTCATTGTCTTGGAGGCCAATACAATCAGAGTCCTGTTGGAGGAGGAGGCTGTTGGACCCGGCTGCTTGCAGCCTGATGTATGAATGTAACCTGTGATTCATACATCATACATCAATGCATTTTGCATTCTGTCCATTATGAAGTTGAAGATCCATCTCCCTACTTTGCTAGTCATTGAGGTCGAGGACCAGGCCGCGGGGATGCTAAGCCCCGAAATCCTCGCAAGGTTATTGCAAGGTAGGCCATTCCTTTTGCGTGCATTTTGTACGCAATAACACCTTGGTCACATTTGTCGAAAGCTTTTGCAATGACTTTGCCACCCATGTTGGCAAAAACCACCCATGGTCTTTGGATAACAAAACCAACCACTGTAAGTGACTCAGTCACTTGTTTGGTGGAGCATGAGTTCAATCTTCCCTGTTTCCTTTGGTAGTGCTCCCTTGCCACTGATGGCTTGCCTGGTTGCTCTGGCTCCCTGTGGCCGTGGGAGCTCCTTGTTTTGGGGGGGATCAAGTTTTATTTATACCCCGATACATACATTTGGTCCGAGTTTGTTAGGATTGAGTGTGCATTGTGGGATCAAGTATTCCCTAGGTTTGGTTCCTATTATTAGGATTAAATGCTCTTTGTTTTTCAGTACTTTATACTTGCTGTACTTTGATACATGGCATTTATACTGACGAGCGTGGTTTTGTTTTTGTCTTGGTCGTGCAGTCAAGATAGGGTTCTCTTCCTGCCCTATTCTTACAGTGGCAACATGGTTCAACATTAGGTAATGTGAGTCAAGAGTCTACAAACCCAGTTCAGTTGTTTCTCTGGGTCCTGTCCAGGCTGGGATCATTCTCAGGGAGGGTGATCTTTCTGGCTCCTTGGTGGCCGGCTCAGTCTTTGTTTTGGCTCTTTTTGCCCGGTGTCCATACCCAGACACTTTTCTGCAGCTCTCCCTCTTTCAACTCTCTCTTTCTCCCTCTCCCTTGATCGACCCATCAATGTCCATCATTGGTTCAACCTCGTTGGGTCTTTCACATCTGGCATTTTGTGTTGTTAATATTACAGTATTGTTGTTAATGATTACGGGATCAACATCCCCGTGGCCAGGCCTCATGGTTGCAGGTCTGATCAACTAGGCTGTTCAATGCAGTTTCTCGCAGCCCAATGTACGAGTCACAGCCTGGTTAATCAGGCATGCTAGACAAGGATAAATAATCCTAAAAATTTTTTCTTAAAAGTTCCATAGCATAAATTAACAATATTGTACTGCAATTTAAAAATAAATTTTACCCTCGTCAAAATAGTGGCTGCACTTTTTACTATTTTGCAATACAGTACATTTACTTTTAATAAAAAGCTGAATAACTTTAGGGAACATACACAAAATTCAAATTACCTTTCTTAATACCAAATCCTTATATGTAAAGAGAAAGGAATGAGAGACTGACGACACATTAAAGCAAGAGAAACTAAACTTACCACCATAGTCAGAATTGGAAAGATTGTGGCCCACGGCATTTTGAACCCCTGCTCCTGCTGCCGAGGTTGGAGGGTGGTAAGGTGGGGGCGGGTGACTTCTCGGATGTACCACTGGAGACGGAGAGGAAAACATTGGGGGTGGAGGGATGGGTCCAATCTCTGATACAGGTATTGGAGGCTCCGGAAGATGAGCAACATGATGGTGACCCATATAATGAGGGTCGTTTTGGTTGTATTCATCGGCAGAGCTCTGACCCCCACCATAATACGTGTGGGTGTCCCGCTGGTGTACTGGGTGTAGACCACTAGGTATTTCAGTAGGCAGCACTTGTACTCCACCCATACCGCCATCAGAAACTGAAATGTAATTAGAGCATGAGAAAAAAATATTTTGCAGATGAAACAACATTAATGCCTTGAAGTGCTCCAAACGTAGGTAACTAATGATATGAATCCAGCTGGAATAACACACATACAGGCACTAAAGAGTATGCTTTATGGTTGTGATTTATGGGTCTACTTGAGGGACAGGAGTGGTTTGAACTGAAACACATCTAAGCAAAGACTTCATTATTTTGTTAAAAAATTTTAATGGTGATTTCTACAACAAGAGGTGGATGTGAACACTGACATTCCCAAAACTATTCTCGTAATTGTGTCATAAAACTGTGTTACAAAAAGTTACATATAAACCAACATGTATGGTATGGTGGGGGCAAAAAAAATTTTTGGAAAAGGCAGAGGGTAAGCTGCACAATGGTGAGGAGAGAGAGGGAGTGCAGGTTCCCATGCTAGGTTATCATGCTGGCTTGTTGTCATGCTGGCGGCAGTCATGCTCATGGTGCTGGTGTTTCTGGGGTCGAGGACTCACCAGACAGGGAGGTCCGCGAGAAGGTGGGCCGCACGGCCGCTCCACTGCCGCCTGCGCCGCTCGCCGCATACACAGAGGGGAAAGAGTACGTGGTGGTGGTGTTGGTGGGGAGATAAGCTGAGGGGAAGACACTGGCACCACCAGAGTGTGTGGGAGCGACATGACCCGATGAAGTGGTCAGCTGACTAGCCTGCACAAACGGGGTGGGAGCGTAGGTCACGGTCAGCCCCCCGCAAGTCTGAGGTTGAGACTGATTGGAGGAGTATGATTGGGGTGACGGTAGTCCGGGAGGAGGATGGGGACTTGGGGGAGCATAAGGTGATGGCTGCTGCGCCGGGGTGGAGGTGGCAGGGTGAAGGGCTGGCCGTAAAAAGCAACCCGCAAGGTTGCAATGTGAAGAAGGCGACTGAAGGGTGCGTGTAGTAGTGACTGAGGGAAGACCAACCACAGAGCTGAGCGAGGGGGGCTGCTGCGAACTTGGGGAGGTTACAGGTCGGGACTGTTGAGGGAGGGGAGCATTGGAGGGCTGGTACTGGTCCCCTGGCACAGAGCTTGAGGGCACGCACAGGAGCCAGCGGGCATGGCGGCCCCCACACATGGTGGTAGTGGTGGTGGTGGTGGCAGCACAGGTGGTGTTAGTAGCGGTCACAAAGACGGCGTCAGTCGAGTCAGGGGAGGCAGGGCCATGTTGGCCCCGTATCTGCCACTTACCACCCGGTGCCATGAGTGAGGTGGGCCGCTCCGGCCGCTCCGATGAGATGATGTGGTGGTGACTGTGATAGTCCGGCGGCTGGGACTCGGGTGGGGGGAGCGGCTGGCTAGTGAGAGGGGGAACTGTGGTGGTGGTAGTGGCTGCACCGCAGGCTAAGGGGCTAAAGGCTGGATGGTGCTCTGGTGACCCATCACCACTACCAACATTACCATTCGCGCCCTCACTCTTCTCCTTCCCAGGTTCTGAAATGAAGAAAAACTAAATAAACCAAACATTCTAAACCTCATGGTACTTTTCCTTCACTGTTAATTTGAAAGTCAATTCATAAAGAACATCCATATATAAAATATACTTCAACAAATACAGTATTCCTTAACTATGTAGGATAATATCACACTGATGCACATTAGCAAGACATCCACAACATTTTTAAGTAGCCTAAAAATAGAGAAAACAACAATGACATTTTGGCTCGTCCTAATCAAGTCTGTTTGACAGGAACAAAACGTTGTCACTTTCCTTTCTTGTGTGCAGCATGTAACTTGGGCATGTAACTGACATGTTCTGCATAAAGTTAAAGGTTTTAGTAACCTCTCAGACTTCATTTTTTTCTAGTGCACATAAAAAGCTGTGAGAAACTTATAATACAGTAGGCCTATTTAGCCTTTTATCTTTGGCCATGAAAATAAAATGAAAAGGAGAAGAGGCATTTGAATGCACAACTTAAATGAAAACTTAAGTTTATTATGCTTACAAAAACTTTACAGTACAATGATGCAGAATGGCTGCACATTTCACAGTTTAAGGTGCTTATGTGGAATTTTGTCTAACAGGTAGAAGTGGCAAGTGTATATAGGTCTTCTCAATATAATGACAGAAGAAGGAACATTTTATTTTTATAGTGTAAGGAATGAGATCGGTACGTTACCAGGAAATTCTGGAATAGTTGTGATGGATAATCTGAATGACAAAGTAGCAATAGCCCCTAAAGAATTGCATAGCCCAAATAATTGCTGCCCTAGGAATTAATGACATTGCCAATAGATTTAAAAGATTTTTGTAATGAGAATAAACAAACACAGTATACATGAAAGAATGTGAATGATAAAATGTACAAAAGCCTGACTCTATTGTATGTGCTTGTGGAGAAAAACATTTAAAAGCATGAGTGTGATATCAAATTATCAGAGGAATATCTGGAGTTTCATCTGCTCACAAGAAATGATTTCAACGAGGAAAGATTAAGCCACACAATAGCATCAAACTTAAATCCTTCAACTCCTCAGGAACACACACACAGATAGACACACAGACAGCCAGACAGAGACACAGAGACAGACACCACTGTACCATGTAAAGTAAGATTTAATGTTAAATGGATTATGGTGCCTTAGTGTTCCAAGAGGTGAAAGAATACAAGCTCAGCGAGAGTTGTTCGAAGAACACACAGTTGATTACTATATTAAAACAAAATTAGCCTTAGTGATGTGTGATGTAAAGCACACTGGTAAAAGAATAAGAGGAAGTGCTTGGTAGAATGAGGAAGTGGAAAGAAAAATAAGAGGACTATGCCGATAAAAACTTCATGACACAGCCAATCCTCAAAACAAAGGGCCATTGGGTTCACAATGAATGAGCCTAATATTGATTTACTAAAATCTACACAAGTTGGTACTGTAATGTCTTGTAGGTTAGGCTCAAGGAAGTGTTTGAAAAATTTATTACAAAACACACAATTGGTGGATGTAAAATTTGATGTACACTCATGATACACAACATTTAGATTAACAAGGAATGTAAGAAATTTACAGATGAAATTAAAGTTTTATTGATATGTCAGAGACGCCTGTTGAAAATGAGTAGCGACTAAAGTTGTAGGTCTATAGTAGTAGGTATTGAAGTAATTTCTTTGTGCGAAATTACTGTGAATGGAGAACTGCTTGTAGTGACCGAACAGTTAAAAAATGTAACTGATCAATAAATTCCTCACTTGTCACTTGTACATAATATGTATTTGGACTTAAAATACCTGTTATGTGTAACTGACAAACTTATGCAAGCAAAGTTTAAAGTACAATCAAAAGCTTTATTCAAAACTAAATTATACAAATTGTTACAGTTCTTGATTGATAGAAGAAAAGTGACTGGTGCAATAAAAGCCTTAGTTAGGAATATAAAGATAAAATGAAATGCAGTAACAGGACTGTATGATGGAGAGAGTGTATACTCTAAGCCTATGTATGTATGTACAGAGCAGTGGTGTTGCATTAATGTGAAAATGAAACATTAGTATAGTAGAATGGACAATGAGAACTGTGTGAATTAGGGATTCACTTAAGAATTACAGTGAAGTACTGTACATACATTATGTAGAGATACAGAATGTAAAGATGGGTAATTGCAGGATTATTGTAAGTATGCCAAGATGCGGGAACAACCGTGGACATCTTTAAGATAAAACTAGATTGTTTTCTCCAAGGAGTGCCAGACCAACCGGGCTGTGGTGGATATGTGGGCCTGAGGGCTGCTCCAAGCAACAGCCTGTTTGACCAAGTTCTCACAAGTCAAGCCTGGCCCGAGGCCAAGCTTGGGGAGTAGAAGAACTCCCAGAACCCCATCAAGCAGGTATGGCTTGGTTATGGTGAATGAATGGATGATGTTTAAAACTAACAATGTAGAGCTAGAGGTCTGCTGGGGTTGATTTACTGAAATGTGGTGGGTGCCGATTCTCTGATGCTCTGATGCTGATGATGACCATCTATTATGCAAGCTATGGTAAATTAATTACTATAGTGTCATTTGTAATATCTTTAGCTTTTTTATATTGTTTTTATTTTTTTATCTGCCTCCCTAAGCTACCCCATGAAAGAGTAGATGATGTTATAATGACAAATTATTAAGGTTATGAGAGACCATACATGTTCTCACGCAGGTGCTAAAGATATGAAGAAAAGCTTGGTTGTAAACAGGTACTCGAGCAAGGTCAGGAGGCCAAGCTGCATGCACAGGGGTACCCTAGTAAGGCTAAGACACTAAATTCCCTAACATTAAGATGACTGCCAGTTACCAGACATTCGTGTTATAAAAATGCCTGTAGTGTTTGTACCAGTACATAATACAACACCTAAAAAAGTCAAGAACTCTTTGAATCTACCTCAATGCATTACTAGACTGTAATCAATATAACATATTTCATGATTTAGTAAAGAAGATTAAAAAAAATTATAATTTACCATTATATTTAGATGCATATACATGCATATTGTATAACTAATGTTCAGTGGTCAAGTGTGATCAACCGTGTTGACAAGTGGAGGGAAAAAATAAATCCCCAAACAATAGTGTTTTAACCCTTAAACCGCGCATGTTTAGAGCCCGGAAACGAAAAATATTCGTATTATGGAAAAAAAAATTAATGTTAAACAAATATCTAATTCATTGGCTTCAGCGTCGTGAAACGTCGTCGAATTTTTAAAAACGATGAACGTTTTGTTGATAAGGAGAACAGCTCCTATTAATTGGAACTAAGGGATAATGCAGTAATTAAAAGATGCAAGCACCTATCTGAAGCTCAAAGAAGAATAATAGTAGTAAGAAGAGTCCTTGAAGTGGATATGCAGCTGGTGCCTTTACAGCATAACTGAGTAATACATAATACCACAAATAATAAGTAAGTATGCTATTATGCTCTATTTTGTTATATATCATATAAATGCATTGACCAATGTTAATATATGTTACTTTCATCAATATTCAAAAAATATTTTTAGGGGATTTTTTATTTTTTTTTTTTAGATTTGAGGTTTTCTCCTCCTGTTTATTATTTGATTTTGTTGTAACCTTTACATCTTGGAAAGTGCATACCCTTCCCTTACTAAGTGAAGATAGAATGAAATTGGTCAATAAATAAGTCAGTCACAACTTGCAGAACTTGGAACTTTGATTTTTTGGGGGGCTGATTTCTTCACAGATTTCAAACTACAGTACTGTATTTTCTTTGCCTCTTTAGGTTTTTTTGATGATTAGGAACCAGACAATGGATTTTTCACTTGTTTGAAGTATTACCCTAAATATATATCCCTAAACCATGATAATTATTATAATCACTGTATCCCTATATTTTGTTTTCTTGGGGGTTTATTTTTCTTGACTTCATTCCACCATATTGACCTACAACTTTCACATATTCGAGTACGAATGCCAAACAATGTTTATTAAAACATAAAATTAACTTGACAATGAATAAAGGTACTGTAGTTCTAATTCGTTGAGAACTTCAACTTCAATTATCTCTGAAACTGAAGAGTTTCAACTTTGAGTGGCTTCTAAAATTCCAGTTTCTGACCGATTCTCACCATTTTGACATACAGTATTGTGTGCTCAGTTGTCTGTTATACAATCCCTTCAGAATGGATTTTTCATAAACGCTATACATTTGGAGTTTTAATTTATTTGTCTAAATTTGCCGTATATTTTAAATGCCATATTGACGATTTTTTTTTACCGTAAACTATACTGAAAACCTATATTCTAATTGGATGAAAGTGAAAATCAAATGCTATTCTGAGAGCATAACACCATATGAACAATTGGTGAGTTTATAATTTTTAATCCGATTTGAAAAACTGAAGTTTTCAATATTCAATTTTAAGATTATTTGTTTATTTTCTTGTTTTTCAAGTTACCTTGTAATCATTTAGACAAAGTTTGAGCATTTGCCTAGTTGATTATGCACAAAAAACTGGAAAATGTTTGTGCAAGTTTGAAAAACTTTAGTTATGTCAAATCATGTATATACAGTATATGCTTTACGTGGTTTAAGGGTTAATGTTTATATACCCACTTGATGGAGTTCTGGGAGTTTTTCTACACCCCAAGCCCAGCCTCGGGCTTGGGGTGTAGAAAACCCCATCAAGCAGGTATAAAAACGCTAAAAATTACCAACATACCAGTAATAGCTACATCATACAAACCAATTGGACAAAGCTTGTTTATTTTAAACCCAGTTAGATTGCTAAGCTAGTATTTATTAGCTTAGGTTAGGCTGTACTGGGCTCGGTTTGGTTAGGATAGGTTGGTTTCTTGAGGTTATCTTGAGATGATTTTGGGGCTTGGTGTCCCTGCGGCCTGGTCCTCGACAGGCCTTTACATTACACTCCCCCAGGAAGCAGCCCATAGTAGCCAACTCCCAGGTACCTATTTACTCCTAGGTAACAGGGGCCATCAGGGTAAAAGAAACGTT